GATGTAAAGTTCTCATTATTTCATATAATAAATGTTCTAATATATATATAATTTAACAGGTAAACCACAGGTGTAAGGAATAGGGATGAATGAGGATCAACAATAAAAAAAATTATGCTCACTCCAATGAAAAAATAGGTAAGGTAAATAACTACATTTTGTTTTCCCCCATTTTATCACATAATCTACATTTTAACAACTCTATTTAAAAAAAAAAAAAAAAAAAAGAGAATCATAAAACAAAACTAAACATTATTCTAAGTAAAATAATTTTTTTTTCTTAAACGATTTAATTTTCTATTTCACACCCAACATATTCTATACATTTTATATATAACAGCTAAAAAATATAAACTGATCCTCTTCTAATATACTCAACACGCACTATAAATCCTTTAAAATAAATATTTGAATTGATTACTACACACATTTATATATATATATATAACATTTACATAACAATTATGGACAGTTTCATACAAAATAAACATATCTCAACAGACATGTAACAAGTGTGTGCAAGTGGAGAAATCAAACTCAAATACTGAATAATTGATATAAAAATGAAGACAACAAAATAAGAATTTCCTGGAACAGTGCTATGAGTATTTTAAGGATCAACCAAGGTTTATGAAATTATGACAATAATTTTATAACAAAAATAATTAAAATATTAAAAATATAAATTAGTTTTTGTTTTGTTTTTTAAAGTAAATAAGAAAATATTACTAATAACAATAAAATAGTTATACAGAGGACCGGCTGCAATAATAAAATATTCCAATGACGGACAATGATAATCATAGATACACTAAAAACAGAGTACAAGGGATAATTTTTTACTTTATCAATACAATTTTAAACAACTGAGGAGTACTCGACATGTACTCAAATAGAAGAGAGGCCAGGCCACTGCTGAAATAAAATTATTGTTCTTTTCAAATAAAAAGAGATTAGCACTTAATTTTAACATAAGAGAAAGAACATATCGGCAACACTTATATAGATCTATTCATATTTGCTTTAATTTTTATAAAATTTATACATATATATATCTTTTTTTTTTTTTTTTTTTTGGTAATTTAACTTTGGTCTGTATTAAATAAACTTAACATTAAGTGGAATTCTAGAAGAGCAATGATAGACTAATTTATACAACCGATCCTAAATTAATTCTTGTGTCAAGAACAAATCAAAATATATTTGAAACTAATACAGTTAATCATAGACTTAAGTTACAATAAGTATATAAAAGTTCAATTATATATTACTGAAGATTATTTATGATTACATATATTAATGATTATATAAGACATTTAATTGTTATTGCCTAGTCTCACAGTAATGAGAAGATATATTCTATCCAGATTTGTTTTTTGTTTTTTTACTTTAATTTACTTGTATTGCCACCCGTTTTTGTATATATTTATATTAAGCCAACCACTGAAATTGTATTAACACCAATGAGTCAAAACTAATCTTGATCGAGTGCATAAAGAGTCACAGCCCTCAGAAGACACACAGCAAAGTGAAATGCATTCAAAACTCAAATAACTCTCGAATACACCTGAGTCACTTTTGCCTTGGTTAGTGGGAACGATACCCAATCTAAAATGGAACCAGCCATTACAAGGGTTTATAAAATGTCCTTCAATTCTACAAGAAAAGGAGAGAAGCAAATTGGTGGACAAAACAGCGAGGGATAGGGGATGAGAAGAACATGTTCCCAAAAACCATGACCGAAGGGGCGACTTCCCTTTAATACAACACATCTGTATTAGCACTAATACTATAATACATTGTATGTAAAAACGTATCATATTATTTTATTATTATAAAATAGTTCTTTTGATTTTGACATATGATTTTAATATTTTACATAATTTTTTTTTTTTACTTTTTAAAAATTAATATAAAGGAAAATTACAATACAAAATAAAAACCAAATAAAAAAAGTTTGACCTGAGAAAAATAAATAACAAGAAAATAAAAGACAAAAAAAAATTGACTAGCATATTAAAATTGTTCAAAAGAAATCTTTCATTCCATTATTTTGACTGACTAGGAGAAATATTACAAAAAAAAGTAAATAAATAAATAAAAAAAAATTGCCAATTAGCTAATCAGTCATTGTTCTTCTTAAAAAAATAAATAAATGAAATGCCTAGAACACCATTCAGACCCAAAAATAACCAATCGACTACTTCAATTCATTTTATAATTACAATATTCCTTAACATGACATGTAAAGGATTGTCAGTTATTTCAGTTCTTAACATGTGAATAAATAAAGTTTAAAATGTCTGAGCAATTGGAATAAATATATTTCATTAGTAGTAGAAAACTTAATCCTTTAAAATATACTTAAGTGTAGATCTATTATCTTTCATCTCATCCTCCTTTATAATTTGATATTTTTAAACCATAATTTATTTCTGAAACTAATTGACTTGATAAAAATAAATATATTTTATTGTATTATTAAGTTTATGATTAGATCAAACTTGTAACCATTAATGTCCATATTTCTGGTATAAATGATGTTCCAAAGTAATAATAATAATAATTTGACTAAAAAAAATAAAAATAAAAAATAGAAAAAAAGAAACTTAAAAGACACATATATTTTCGAAAAAATATTCAATTTCTAATTATATCCTTTGGTTTGATAAGAAAGATTAATAATACTACAATATCTTTCCTTATTTTATAGAGTTTTAAACGTTTTATTATTTTTTTTTTTTTTTGGTATCTTATATTATAAATTTTATCCTGTTTACAGTAGAGGAATGTTCAATGAACATGTCTAGAAAGTAATATTTACAAAAAGAAAACAATGTGAAGAGATAAAATTGAAATATAGCACACTTATACTTCAGCATAAGCCTAGGCAGACGGTCTGATACTCAAAGTAAATAATGAAGAATACATTTTTTATTGAACAGCACATTTTTAATTAATTTTTTTTTTTTATAGATAAAAGGCATCATCTGGCATATTAAGATGTGCCACTAAAAACTATATTTACTGGAATAATTCCATAGTGATACTTTCAGTTTTCTACTAAAGAGTACTGGTGGTAAAAAATTAAAAAAAGTGGAAATTACTAAGATTGCACAGCCAACAATCGTTCCTTGTTAATAATTGGCAATAGACTAAGACAGGATTTTTATGCAATGGCTTTTTTAGCTTGCTTATCCTTTTTTTTTTTTTTAATCCACAAGAAAAATATCATTTATATTTTATGTCATCACCATTTTATCTCTGTGTTTGGTTGTGATTTTTTTATGTTTAAAGCAATTATTGTACCTTGAACTAGGTCAAAGAAGTTGATCAAAATATCTGAATACATTAAAAGATTCTGTACTATTTTGTATTTGATTTTTCTCTTCCCCCAGATTCATCATATCCTGAATTACCATTACAATAAAAACTGTTTCACCAAAATTTTAATTTAAATCAATTTTAACTGAAGAGTTAAGGCTAAGAGAAAAAATACAAATAAAACAAATTTGAAAAAATATATTGAAATCCGTAGATAATAACCTTAAAAGTCATGTTTCCGTTAGTTTCAATTTATTATTTATTCATTCTGTAGAATACATCTATTTTATTTATTTTTATTAATTTAATTATGTTTTAAAAAGTTATTATGAACTAAATTCATTATTGAAATATATTAGGTAATTAATTTAAATGGTGAAGTTTTTTAAATATGATTTAAATTTTTTCCCTAATCAATTTCAAAAGTTTTTATTTCTAACTTTGCCCTTATTGGTACAAAAACAAAACATTTACTTTTACTTTTTATATTTTGTTTTAGTTCTTTTCTTCCTTGCCTTAGCACATTATTTTAATTATTAGCTGTTAAGGCATATTTTAACAATACATTAACATAATTCAATGAATAATTGCAATTATTTTGTTGTTTTGTTAGATCTTTTAGATATTGTTTTATGACCAAGAAAATCCGGTGGCTTGTTAAAGTTTTTTTTAATTTATCGAAAATTGACAACAGGCTCCAGATTATTACTACGAATTCCAAAAGAAACACTATTAATCATAGTAGCGTCATAAAATCAAAATATAGCAAATATTAGATGAGTACATCATGATATGCCAGGTTTTATAGTCATCCTCCAATAAACATACACTTAGAAAAGTATAAACAATATTGTCATTTCTATGATTTTAAAAATTATATTTTCAATAATAAGGCATTGCCATTTGTTACAATTTACTACTACCCTAGCCGAAATCTGAGAGTGAGCTGTAAATCAAAATATCACTGACACCTTGAAAAGATTCATAATTGTAAGTAGGATATTTTCAGAAACCAGAACATAAATTTAAATGAAAAAAATATTTGAAACATTATCAGATGAGAAGAAACCTCTATCAATTATAATAATACTGGGCTAGGAAGATATACAATTTTTAAAAAATTATGATTTTCATTCTTACCACTAATAATAGGTGACCAAAAAATTAAATAAAATAGATCAAGAATAGAGACAAAACAAGAAAACATTGAAGCGATCAGACATACTCAAATCTTACAATGATTTAGAAACTTATTATTGTTGTAGATAAGTTATGAAGTTAATAAATAGTTATCTACTAATCAACAAGTTACATAACAGAGGTACCTGCCCTCTATCCGTTAAAGAATATACAAAATAAATTATTTAGTAAAAGAAGTAGTTGTTTAAGAATTGAAAATAATTATAAATTTAAAGACCTTTTTAAAACTTTGAAGATAATAAGATAAACCTACATCGAACATGGCAGGACAAAAAAGAAAAGAAAAAATTTACAAAATAAAGAAATTTTTAACTGAATATACCTTAAAAGTAACAAATCTGATATGTTTAATAAAAACTAAATACTGGAGGAATGTAAATTTGAAAATTCATTTACAACTCCAAAGAAATAAAAACAACTGTATAATTATAATAACTAATATAATTATAGCTTTATTGAAATTTATTTAAATAAGTGTTTGATTGAATGAACAAGTAATTGTAATGGGAATAATCTAAATGAAAGATAGGACATTTCCATCATCTGTTTAAAAAATAATAATAAATAAATGAAATAACAAATAAATATTTATAAATATACATAAGGTACAGGAGGTACTTCTTGAGTACAGGTAGCTTTTCATTGATATTTACATGTTTTTCACCAGTTGTTGAGGGCTCCTGCACGCTTTGGCTTTTGTTAAGAATAATCTTTGTCTTGGCAGTCAGCACATTATATCACACCTTTGTCAGATGTCTCATTCTATAGAAGAAAAAAAACTTATAATTTTTAGAATATAAGGTAAAATACAAAGTCTTTAAATAAAACTTACATGTTGTCAACAGAGAGAACAACACTTTCCTTGACCAGCATGTATCTGACAAGTCTCATTACCTAAATTCGAATGTATCTCTTGTGCTTTATAAAGCCTGCTTCTTCCAAGGAGTGGCAGGCAAAGTTTTTTCTGCAGCATAAGATATCTCCCGATGAAGGCATTTTTTTTACCAAAGCTGCTTCCTCCTTTGATAAAACAATAAAAGTATTAGGAAAGTGTGTTTAAAATTTTCTTTTGTGCCAAAAAAAAAATTTATATTAATAAAATTAATAAATACATTTTTAAAATTGAACTGAAATGACTAACTATGTATGGAATTCATTATTATAGATCTCTTTTATCACAGGCAGATCTACAGGGGGAGTGAGGGGCCTTCGGCTGAAGCCCCCCTCCCAAAATGGTAAAATATAACCATGTCTAATGAAAAAATATCACAAAAAGTATTATTAGCAAAACTATTTTATTAAAAGTGAACGTTTTGAAAAGCGAGTTTTAAGTGAAAATCCTAGCTGAACACATCTCCCTGAAGAAGACCTGCAAAGTCGGGTCGAAATGTTGGCTTTTAATAAAATAGTTTTGCCACTATTTACCAGTTTTAAGTAAAAGTATTATTGTTCGTGTAATTACATTTAATAGGACTTCAAGAATTAATTATACAGCATTTTGTATAGTTTCTTTCTTTTTTTTCTAAAATAATTATTGTTGCATATATAGATAAAAAAAAGCTTCTGGGCTGAAGCCCCCAAAATTAAATCCTGAATCCGTTAGTGTCTTTTATGGCTCTCAAAAGAACAGAAACAATATATAAAAAAAAGTTAAATTTTATGGAGCAGTGATGAATCCCAATCTCAATCCTTAAATTTTAATACAACTATATATAACTAGGGTGGGTAACTCCTGTCCACCTAATAGTGGACCAACCCCCATTTTACAAATTATACAACTGTTCATTTAATTGTGCTACCCGTTACTCAAATTGTATAACTATGATTTACATTTATTCTGAAGTTCAGATTGTATTATTTTTTATCAACATAATATAAATGAAAGGAAACCACAGTTTGGACAAACTTTTAATTTCTTTAAAAATCTATATTATTAGTCGATCCTTATTGACAATTGATAACCATAATAAGGGAAAAATAGTTTTGGGAAAAAGAAGTGTGGTGTCTTCGTTACAGTCCGTCCCACTTTGTATCAGTAAAATAAAATCAAAACTTTTTTAAATAATAGAGAGATAAAATCTGTCTTATGACACCTTTCCAGAGAACAGCTCTGAAACATTGGTAAAAATAAAAATAATTTATTTTTGTTTCGTTATTTCACTGACCACCCCAATCCCAATTAACTTCTCATCAATATATATAATTAATTATTTAAAATTGTAATTGCTATCACCAGTATACCTGAACAGAAGTTGGCGGAAGGAGATGGTATAAATCAGATTTTCATATGATACAGTTTGGATAGCATGACATAGTTTGGATGTATTTACATAACTGATGAATGAATTCTACCTCTGAATGGAAAAATTTGTTTATTTTTACATCAACTATAAACTAATTATAATAAATAAAATTATGAGATAAGTATTCAATTTATAATAAATCGCCCCTATAATTATGTTACTTTTTGAAGTATTAAAAATATACCAAAATTGGGCTAATCAGACCTAGTAGATTACTTGGACTAACAGAACAAAAAAAGGTTTTAAATCAATATTCATACAGCTATGTCTCTTATGAAAATATTATATATAGTATTGGATTGAATTTAAGAATAACCTTTTATAAAAAAGGGTTTATCTTAAATTTGATTCATTGTTTGAGGTTTTATTTATACATTTTGAATTTCTTAAATATCTAAAAAATTATGCTTAAAGACGATTCTCAATTTGCAATGTTATCGAAATTTAAAATGTCCATTCAATTCCCAGAAACACCAATGAAAAAATGGATGCGATTTGATAACATATTATATTTGTTATAATATGTTTAATTAATAACCTCTATAATAGGTAGCTAAAGATACTGCAATGTTTGAACACATTTTTGCTTTAGATCTAAGTTAGCTTCCAGTTACACTACTTATAAAGTTCTTTGTTTTTATTTATTACAATAAAAAGGTTCGACTGTTTATGTAACACACATCCTAAACATATTAAGTGCAGCACTGATTTATTCGAATTTTAAATGTTTTTCTATTTTAATTTAATTAGTTTTTAATTTGACAAATTTTGGGATAAGACTTTTAAAATTACAGAAAAACATTTTCTTTACTGGGATTAAAAAAAAAAGCTATGATATGACTTACACAAATATAAATGAGAGTCTACTTAAAATAAAATTGTTTTAAAATAGAGAATAAATAATTTATTAGCATCCTAACACATACAAAACTGAAAAAGAGATTTTAGACAAGTCTTAATTGACAAGATTATTTTATTACTAAAATCTTCATGTAATTCATAATCTGGAACTAACACCCATTGACATTTAGCAACCAAAAATAATTAGCTTTCTGTATCAGAAAAAAACAAAATAATCTGGACCATCCTTCTGACTGATTTTAATACCACAGATTTCTGTTGAAATCAGAAATGTAATAGTTACAGGTGAGTTGATATATTGATATATACCTTGTGAAACTTTGATATTGTTCTATTGACATTTTCAGTTCTACTTAATTTAGTTTTAAGAATCTACTTAATTCTTAATTAATTTATAATTAATAAAAGTGAAATTATATATATATATATATAAAAAAAATTACCTTGAGGTTTGGATGGAGGAGGCTGCGTCGATTCATTTTGGGGCTCTTTTTGTGTTGGACTATTATTAGCCTCGACTTCTTGAACTTCTGTGATTCTATTTAAAGACTGACTTTCTCTTAAGCGTGTTTCCCCTCTCCTCCGACCACCAGAACTACTGCTGCCACAACCACCTTCCCGTCTTGTACCTGGTACAATTGGCATAAAACAGTTTTTCAAAAATGATTAACATTAATTGACTAAAAATATTTTTCTGTGCAAAACATAAATCTATAAGTAAAACATAACTTATATACTTTTTAAAAATTATAATAGCTATTATTTTATTTATTTATTTTAAAAATTAGTACCTACTACATTGAAATTTTTAATTTCATTATGATTAAAATTGGCAAATATCCAGTAGAAAAAAAAAAATTAAAACTTAAAACAATTCATATTTTATTTGACCAAAACAGTTCATTTATTAGGTACAGAAAACTTGGTGCAATTTCATTATTAAAGCTCATAGTTGTTTACCATTAACTTCAAAAATTTCAGTTAAACACCTAAGCATGCAACTGTAGAATGCCGATTCATCATGGAATATCTCTTAAAAAAGAACTTATAAAATGTGAACAAGAATTTTTGTCTTTGAAAATTTATGAGTAAAGCTCAAGTTGTCCTCCTCCTTTGCTCCTCCATCTCTTCTAGCCGTCACCTTTCCCATTCTCTCTTCTTTCGCCTGTGTAGTCTCTTCTCCTCCGTCCTTCTGTCTCTTTACTCCTCCGTGGCCCTTCTCCTGTGCCGCTTCTGAACCATGGAGACAGAATAAATCAAGGGCATTGATCTACAAGGCGGTGAATGAGAGTAGAACATCATTCGAACCAAGGGTCCGATTATGTTGAAATGAAGATGGCTCCATGATCACAGAGAAGGAGCAGATTTTGGCCCGATAGTCTCATCACTTTGATGCACTACTAAACGAGGCTGCAGATGGTCCGAACGATTTCATGATACCAAGTGCTGAGCACGACCTGGACTCTCCAGACCCACCGACATGTGAGGATGTTCTTGAAGCAGTCAATAGGCTGAACAACAACAAAGCCTCAGGAGAGGATGGAATTCCAGAGAACCCTCTATGACATCATCATCACCATCTGGATTGAAGAGAAAATGACAGATCAGTGGAAGAAAGGAATAATTTATCAACTACACAAGAAGGGTAATATCCTCAACTGCTCCAATTACCTTGGGATCTCACTTCTTCAGAGTGCTTATAAGATCCTCTCAAACATTGTCTACTGCAAACTCCTCCCGTTTGCTGAGAGAGAGATTGGTAAGTATCAGGCGGGGTTCAGAGCAGGAAAATCTAAGTTGACCAGATGTTTAGCCTCCGTATGATACTGAAAAAGTCTCAAGAGTACAGGATGATGACCCATCACATGTTTATTGACTTCTGGAGTGCATACGACAGCATCAAGAGACCTCAACTGTATGCAGCTCTGTGTGACCTTGGAGTTCTCCCGAAACTTGTCCGCCTCATCAAGATGACTATGGATGATGGTAGGTGCAGTGTTCGGGTACAATTGGACCTGACACCTAAATTTGTTTCCACGTGAGGAATTAGGCAGGAGGATGGGCTTGCCTGCCTATTGTTTAACCTGGCCTTGGACAAGGTGATACATGACTCGGGGATCCAGACTACCAACACTATTGGTGGATCTAGATCTGATGGCACGTTCCTTCAAGTCTCTTGAAAGTGCATTTTTAAGGTTGGCTGAAGCGGCAGAAGCTTTGGGAATGAGTGTAAACCAGGAAAAGACAATGTATATGCGAGAAAGAGCTGAAACAGAAACTGGAGTACGAGTACCAGTTGTTATGGGCCCTTTCACGTTCCACAAAGTAGACCAGTTTACCTATGTGGGAGCTATTGTAAGCTGTGGAAATAGAATATCCGTGGAGGTCAACCAGCCAAAGAGCCATCTGGCGAGGGTTCATTGAGGCGGCCAAGGACCACACCGCGCCATGGAGTTAAGTTTAAGTAAAGCTCAAGTTGACCTAAAGAGTTATCAGATATTATACAGGAAGGATTGGCTAATGGTAAAAAAATTCTCAAACTAATTCCATATATTTTTTAAAACTTAAAATCAGAGAAATCTATGTATGTTATTATTTTTGAAGTTAACACTTTTATTGATAGCTGGTATTAAACATTTGAGTGGCCTCATATCAAAGATGGACATCTGTTATTTTCAGAAAGCAGAGAAAAAGTCAGTTTTTGTTTTATAGTTTTTATTCAATCTGATTCTGATTGATGATATTATTTGTGAGGACGGTTCTCGGCTTGAGCCCTCGTCCCTCATCGACTGCGGATGTGCAGATGTACAGTTGATGTTAAGCTGTAGCGATCGTAATGATCGCGGAGCCTGCCTGAGACCAATCGTGCTCTGAGGTCAGGTAAGAAAAGCTTATCTGATCAAATTGGTGCTAAAGGGCGTTGCCGGAGCCTTGGCGGTCCTAGTGGTCATGTGTTTGCGACTGCTCTCTGTATGACACACAGTGTTCAGCTGGTCGTGACTTAGTTCAGGCTAGTCATCTGGTTTAGTGTATAGAAGAGCGGTTGAAAGCTATGGGAGTAGGGTGATGGCCCTCTCCGTTAGCACTGGTTGAGTGTTTGCATCCTTATACCTGCCCGGGTTGAGGCTAGGTTGAAATTGGTTGACTTTTGGGTTAGGTACGATCTTCAGCTGGAGCCCGTACTCCATAGTATAGGTGTAATCGCTCTGATGATATTGTTTAAAATGTTTAAGTTGAAATCATAAAAAAAAATAAATAATTAGAATCAGTTAAAATTGAAGCTATGTTAAAAAATGAACTTTTTCTTGATTTTTTAGAAATGAAAGATATCCGTCTTTGATATGAAGCCACTCTTTTGTTTTTATATCATCTTTAAATTCATTCTATTTAAAAGTCAGTGCTTTGGGCGCCAAATTTGACCATCCCATAGAAGGCAGTTGGCTACGTTGAGATCATTTTTAACCCATATTTTCCACCACAAAATCCAGTAGAATAAAACTCCTTAACTTATAGGTTCAACCTTTTAGGTTTACTTCTGCATAAAGGATGGCACTATTTTTAACTTTGACAAATTTATTAACCAAATAATATAAGTTATAAAAAATTATATGGTTTTACGCATTGTAATCCTACCTCTGCTGCTAGGATTAGGACCAGTGCCATTTTGACCAGGTCCACCATTTGTACTAGGTCCCCCAGGTGGGGGTGCACCACCTCCTCCTCCAGTTCCACCTCCAGCTCCTGGGTCCTGAGGCCCTCGTCCTCGATGTAATGAGTGGTTACTTCCTAAAAAAGATATTCATTGTTCTGATACAGTTATGTTTAGTTGATATATCTTAAATAGGTGAATGAGATACCAATTCACCAGAAATCAATGTAAAATAAAAATTAAAAAAAAAAGACTATCGTAAGGTAAACAATCTGATCAAGACTTTTTTTTTTAAATAATGGAAGTTATATTTAATGGGTATGATAATGAAAAGAATACAATAAAAAAAAAAACTGATAAATAGAATACGCAAATTTTAATAAAAACTCCAGTACCTTTGCAATTATCTTTTTGTTAGAATCATTCACATCGAAATTTTGAGGATTTAAAATTCAACATGTGAATTAAATACAATAATAATATTGCACACTACTCAACATCAGACAGTAATGGAATTGTCTAGTAATAAAAAAAAAATGAAATCTGGAAACATAATATAAATTTTATTAGTAAACAAAATGTTAGTATATATTGCCTAAAATGCAACTCAAAGATTCACCAATAATTATCAATGAATTTGATACAATAAACATTACCAACAAAAATAAGAGTCTATAGGATTTGATTTCATCATTATCAAGATACCCATGATATAGCAAGGCTAGAAAAAATTAACGAAACTAAATAACAAGTACATATAATAAGAGAGGCTTTCAAAACAAAAGATATAAGTTTTTTTCTCTCAGCGAGAAGAATATTAATTTACACAACAGAATTTTACCTTAATTTCAAATTCCATAAGACTTTTAGATTTTTGTTGCTTTTAGATAAATTTAATTCTTCAGCACAATAATCCAATAGTAAGTTATGGCCTATGCCAAATGTCACAGTCTAGTGCATATGCCTTTGTTCACGATTAAGCCTAGGTTTCTAGCATTGGATATATAGAGCTTATTTTATGTATTTGTTTATGTATAACTTTATTTCATATGTAATCTCAATAAGGTTACATAAAATGCATGCGTATCTTTTAAAATATATAAAAAAATAAATAAAAGAAAAATGAAACCGACCTTTCCTTTTATTTCTTCCTTCTGAATCTTCATCACTGGCATCTGAAGAACTACAGGAAGCGGTGCTTCCTTTCCTCAACTTATTTCTTCTCTCATACCTGTCATTGAGAAACAAACCTTATATCAAAAACATCTTTGTCTTTAAAAAATAAATTATATATTCTGTTTTTTCACAATGATTCAAACGAACCTTGCTATATTAGCATTGACACCCAATTGTGGAGAAGTGATGTTGTTGACATTATTTGTAGTTGTAAGAGCAGATGGGAGAGTCTTCACAGCTCTCACTGGAGTATGGTTACCAGAGTTCGGATGAAGAGGTCCAGGAGCAGTAGATGCCTATAAAAAAAAATTAATTAAAAAAAAAATTTTTATTATAAAAAATTGTGATAATTTTTAACTTTCATTTACTTAAATATATAACATATACAGGGGGAAAGTATTGGGAATGTGAAAATTTTCAAATCTGAGATTTCAATGGAAATACACGTTTTAAGCTCCCCTGAGTCCAAATAACCAAGCCCCACAAAATGACCTTTGTGTGTGTGTGTATATGTATGTGAACAGAATAGCTCAAAAACGAAAAGCCATACAAAACTGGTATGTATTGAAGGTTTGTATATAGCTGGGATGTTACAGCAACTTTTTCAACAAAATCGGCTAACTAGAAGTGCCACTTTATACCATCGATTTTACACATTTTTCTCGAAAATAACTAACGATTTTGATTAAACTCATTATATAGGTGTAAAATTAAGCAATTTTTGATACAATGTAAGTTTTATTCTCATTAATTTTCTCTAAGAGGGCTTAAATGTCTTATTTTCGAAATTTCTACCTCTAAAGTACCTTTAATTTTTTTTATTTGAAATAATTAACCATTTCAACTGCTATAAAAAAATGGTTAAATATATAATATGAAACAATTTTATAATTATAAAGGAAGGAGATGGTCCGGGGAGATGGAGATGGTCCTTCCTTTATAATGCAACGGTCAACCATTAAATATTCAATTTTATAATTAACTAAAAAATAAATAAAACAAAGAGTCGTGATAGAGAAACGAAGAAAACGGAACACGCACTCGAGCTTGGCTGGAGGGTTATAATAAGCTTCCATACATAACACGTACTTAATAAAATACAGGCTCTGATAAAATTATATGCATATACATGTGCGATTTTCATAAACGTTAGCGTTCATATTTGATATTTAACCGTACAGACTACAGAAATATAAAAATTAAAATTTGTATATATAACTACAATCAATATAGTGGCCTTCTTGTCAGACTAAAAATATTTTGTGGCACTTAATTATTTATTATAATCAAACAAATAATTAAAATATACAGTCTTAAAAGGAAATAGTTAGTGAAAAAAAAGTGTATAAATATAATAATAGGGTGCATAAAAAAAATATATGATAATTTTATCAAATTCAAAGGACTGTAAATATTTTAATCCTATTTAATACTTAATAATCCCTTTGGAGCATTCTCTAAGCTTGTTTAATCCCATTTGACTTCTTCAAAAAAGTTTCAGTTTAGATATTTGTTTCAAAGAAGAAATATGACAGTGTCCTACGAAATTCTCATAATTTGAAGGCATTACTGGAAAAAAAATTTCACAGCTCGTGAAATTATTAAATATGAAGGGAAAGGTGTCCTTGACCAATGCACTGAACAGTGTTGGTTTGAAAAATTTAGCAGTGGAGATACGACGTTGGAAAGGAAGAAGGGCTCCGGACGACCATTTGGATACTGATGAGGTTCTGCAGGAAGCTGTTGAGTCAAATCCATCCACAAGTACTCGTGAACTTGCCAGGAAGTGTGGTGTGTCTAATGATACTGTTAACCACCATTACTTCCACTTTTCATTCTTGCAAAAAAAGGTGGTAAATGAAAGTTGTCTGATGTGGATGGTGATGGACCCACTATAATTATCTAATAAATTTCATATCTTCATCATCAAAAAATAAATAAATGAATAATAATTGATCATGGATAGCAAAATAATCATAATAGAAATGATAGTAAAGAGTCTTAGGCTGTGTTTACATTGGACCCGTCACGACGGTTCTACTGTTCAGCTCAAAAACATAACCTGTGAATAGCTTTCATTCATCTTTTAATGTTTAGAATCATTTAATTCTAATATATGTATCCAATATACATAAAAAATAATAGTTAAATTCCTTTAAGATTTTTTTTATAATTAACAAGTATTAATTACGATATTATTTATTCAATACGTAATCTAAAAGTAATTCAAAATACAGTAGAAAATAACAATAATGGCTATTTACATTTTATAATATACATTTTATAGCAACTAATAACTATTATTGTCACTTAAATATCAAATATACTTTCATTAATATAGGAAAATAGGCTTACTTTTAATGATCAATAGTATGCAAAATTTGAAAATTAAAATATTATAAAACATTGTTAATTTTATTTAATATATATTTTAAAATTAAAAAATAAATCTAAAATCTATTTAAGTTCTGCTTATTACTTTAAGTTATATGTAATTATAACATATAATTCATATTTAATAAATTAAAAATCTCATATTGAAAAAAATTATCTTATTTTAAATACATAATGATGTAGAGATGGTTGACCTTGATATAATATGAGAAGGAGTTGGTCAGAGGGTGCAGTCAAATAAATACTAAATTTTTAAAAAATAGTATTTTTAATTGTTACTCCGACGTTTCGACCCACCTTGCCTTAGATTATAGATAAAATGCTTTTATCTAACAAATTTAAAATGGCCAACAATAGACGGAAATGTAACGAATACGCATAAAATATGGAATTTAATGGTTTAGGTTTAAAAGGTAACACCAATAATTATTGTAATAACTAAAATTATTATAAATAAAAATAATTTTTCTTTCTATTCTTGCATTTGTTTATATGTATGTATATTTTTACTCAAAAAGTAATTTTATATTAGTACACAATCTCTTACTATATTACCTCAGTTATTGAATTGATGGGTATCGCAGCACGATGAATCTCTTGAACTGCCAAATGCAATTTACCTTCAGATCTTGATCCCCGTCGATTAAGCCCTCCACTTTCCCGAGACCCACCGCTCTCCTCTTCATCATCTTCAGTAACAATGGAACATTTACGTGTCCGCTATAAGGAGTTAGAAAAAGTAAAAATAAATGCAAATGAAAATGGAACATTATCATATAAGTATAATTACTATAACGTATTATAATAGAAATATTTATTACAGGATTGATCTGCTGTCCTTCTCCTTGACCTTTCGTCATGTTCATTATTGAAGGAATTTGGGGCTGGTCATTTTCAAGACACGAATCAACACGAACCATTGGTGCAATAGACTTGATACTGAACAAAACAAACATTATTTAAAAAATAAAATGCAATGACATTTTAATAATAGTAAATGAAGGAATGTTTCATTTTGACATTACAGTTAAATTTCTTTCATCTTCCATCCTTAAGAACTTTATATTTCTGATGAACAGTACTGTCTATAACATGAATTTTCAAGTCATCATACAAATGTATTGATAAGCAATTAAAACAATAACTTCTTATAAAAGAGCTAAAATATTAGATCTCAGAATCTGAGACCGTATGTGGGGATATATACAGGATCACTGCATAATATTTGATTAACTATGAGATTTGTTCAATGATTTTCGGGCTAGTATAATTTATATTTGATCAATGCAAAATATATCCTTGCTCTTGATCTCTAACTGGGTATCCGATACAGTTGAAGATTTTTATTTTCTTTTATATTAATTCATCATTGTTATTCTAAGGGGACTTAGTCCTAGAATAAAGTTCAATTTTCGATTCTATTCTATCCATCAATTGCAGCCAAATAATTCACATAATAGTATAAATCCATTATTTAAGATTAATTGTATAATACAGCTATTAGATCAAACAATATAATATAGCTCTTATCAAACAATCATTATTAGGTACAAATAATCTCACTATTATATAAAAAAGGTTTTAGTGACTGTGTCATAATTTATTTTACATCTACAAAGCGGGATGGACGTGATGAAGACACCAGTGGGACGAACTGTAACGAAGAAACTGCACTCCTTATTCTCATAATTATTTCTACCTGATTATGGCTACGAATTGACAATAAGAATAATTATAATTATGGGGGTTGGCCAGGAGGTACACCCCTAGTAATAATAAAAGAAAGTTTAAAAGAATAAATTTAATCATATAAAAGCGACAACTGTAGTGACAAGTCATATTTCAAAATTTTCAGAAATAAAAAAAGCTAATAAAGTGATACAGTAACTCTAAAGTAAAATATTCTTTCTGAAATAAATTTGATAACTATCTCTGACAATTTTCCAGAAGGAAGAACATTGTTAAAAGGTTTATTATCGTGCGCTTTCCAACAAACTTCCACTAATGGACATGTTTCCTTTCTGCAGCTAGTGATTCAATTAATTACTATAATATACTTACGGAGTGCTTTTAGGAGTTTGCTTCGGATCGGATGCCCTTAATTTTCTTTCAGCAAGTAAATAGTAAGTGGCAGTTATATAATTATAGTCATTTTTTTCTAATGACCTATAAACAAAAATAATCTATTATACTATTGTAATTTTGTATTTAGTAAAATTTTAATTTAGGATACCATACATCTAAGACCTAGTAAGTCCATAGGAAGTGAAATAGATTTACAAGGTTTTAGCAATAAGTCAACAATATAATATTTTTTTAATTGCAGTCAGTATTACACTTATTATTAGTATCTAATTTAATACATAACTCGAAAAGAAAAAGGAAACTAACATTTTTTTCCTCTTTAAAATGATAATGATTTTCCATAGGATTGGAAGAGATAAATTTTTAATTTGCATTATATTAAAGAAAAAAAAAGTGCTCACTAAGAAATTAAGATTCTCTTGAAAAGTCATTTTTGGCTGTAAGGAAACAAAACTTTTTTTTATCATAAAGCTATTAAATTGCAAACTATAGAAAAACATAGCTAACCTTACTATTTCATACATTTATATTCAAAGTGCATTTATCAATTATGTTGAAGTTATGAACAATAAAAAGAAATAAAGAGAAAGATAAGATATAAATTTAAAAAACATCAAAGCAACTAAACGCTCTAATAGCTACAAACCATACAGGGACTAATATATAAATAGAAAAGCCATTTCTTGATGTCAAGGATAAAAACGTTGCTTGAAAATACTAAACTTAAAGAAATGATTGTTAAAAACAATACAATTTCTTTATAGAAATCTATGTTCATGTTTAATATTCATTAACAAAATGGAAATAGTAAAATATTTGTAATTAATTTAAAATAACAGACTTTTGTTAGTTTTAATTTCAAAACTTTAACTTAGAAATTTAATTTATTTTTCTTTGGGTCCATTCTAAATATTTTTATTTATTGAACTTCTTAAAAGTTGCTTGGGATGTGCAATTAGTAATGAAAAATACACAGATAAGAAAACTCATTCTAATGTGTGCCAACAGGCGCACTATAGTTCTAGATGAGGCCGTAGTCCATCAAAACCGAAAAAAATAAATCACATATTTAATTAAAGTTGAATGGATGCAAGTAGCATCTGTCAAATCACAAATTCCATCCTAAAAAACTGCATTTATTATGTTACTAAAAAAAAAAAATTAGTTCAGCCAGCTAAAATATAACCCAAGTTTGTTCAGCAAAAGCAGTGTGAGATCTATCTTTCTCCTTTTGAAATGAAAGAAAATTATAATAATATAAATAATGTAATTTATAAACATACTCCAAAATTTCTTCTTTGGTACATATATTTCCTGCAACCATCTTCTGGACTATTGAGGCATGGTCTGCCTCAGTAAGCGTACGGCTGGATATAAGCGGGACAGAGAGTTCATTAGTGTCCACCTTGACCCAGGGGTCAGCAGCTATTTCCTCCAATGTTGCCCTCTTTTCAGGCTCTCTTACCAACATTCTTCCGATCAAATTCTTACATGCCCCTGATACATGATTCGGAACTGTGTATTTGCAGTCCATAATCATTGTTAAAGTTTCGCTATCATTTGCTTCTTGGAAAGGAGCCTGACCACACACAAGCATATACAATATGACTCCGAGGGACCATACATCTGTAACAAGGTTAAGGAATGTAACACAAGAAATAGTTTTAAAACAATTACATCTTCTGAATAATTTTTATATTATGAGAAAGGAAATATCCATAAAAAAAAGAATGACACTCATGCAATGAGACCGACATTAGTGGCAACTAAGAATTATATAATAATACAGTTAGAAATCTTGTAAATACTTTTCATCGAATTTCAACTTGAAGACGTATCTTAAAGTCTACCTAGGCCTTAATGAAACTTAAAAATTGAAAAAAAAAAAATTGTTCAGTAACGTCGAATTAGGAGTAAAAGATGAGTTATGAATGCTTTAGTGAACAGTATGAAAAGAAGTCCTCCAATAATAATTAATTCCAAGCATTTTTATTCTTTGATTTCCTACAAATTGGTATTAGAGAGTTTTATAGGATTCTAGAAACAAATCTGAATTGCTTTTTAATGACAAAAATTTACTTGGCATACTTAACTGAAAGCCTCTAAAGGTTTTGTAATTTGGTTTACATTTGAATTCAATTAAAACAATCAATAATATGCATTTATTATTATTACTACTATTATATATATATACTATAACATAGAAATTCGTGCAGAGTACAGACAGAAAACAATAGTATTAAAAAAATGTAAAACTGTAATAAAATATAGTTTTTCTCGGCTCCAATGGTACATAGGTAGGAACCCTTAGACATGGGTCAAATATTTTTTGATCTAGTATCACAAAAAAAACAACTTCATTGAAATCATTAATCCAATGGCTATAACCTCCCATTGTTAGATTACTCGTCGAACTTATACTCATTAGCACTGTTTATCTTTATTTAATATTCTTGATATCTAAAGCAACTTTACATTTTTACAACTTTTAAATACAATTCTTTAATTTAAAGAACTGGGTCCAAATAAAACTTAGTTAAACGCGAGAAAATGATATGCTCATCATGAAATTTGTCACTCTTTTACTTCAATATAGACATATTACGCCTCAATATTTTTTTTAAAAAGAAAATTATAATAAAAACACCTAGAAATGAAAAATATAAAAGAAAATAGTTTTCAGAAATTACCGACAGCAGGGGCATCATAGGAATCACCCAGAAGAATTTCTGGAGCTGAATAAGCCAATGAACCACACGATGTTTCAAGTTTTTGACCAGGACAAAACTTGTTGCTGAAACTGAACAAAAATTATTTTAAAATAATAAAAAAAAAGAAAACAAAATTGTAGTCACAATGTAGCAGCACTAATAAATATTAAATTATAAATAAATATTAAGCTCTAACAAAAGCTTTATTTCAGCTATCAATATTTTTTTTTGTATAAAACAATATAACCTTTATAAGTATAGCTTTTTTTTTTTTTTTTTTTTTTTTATCCTTATAATAGTCACCAACTGATTTTTATACATAATATATAGAACATTCAGAATAAAAGAGATACAACTTGAAGTATCTTATGTTGGATTTTTAATAGTTTCATGTAATAAAACATAATTGTAAATTAACTAATCATTAAATCTCATATGATTTGTAATTCATAAATAGTCAATGATTTTTTGCTAATAAAGCCTTTCTATAAGAGGCATTTCTCTCATTACATATAGGTTGCAACCTATTATCCCAAAAGGCAGTTTACTTTTGTTTCATTTGCCTCATACCTATGAATTGATATTACTTATTGTGATGAAGTTATATTTTTTAGACTTTAATGTTAATTTAGATGAGACACATCATCTCAACTTCTTGTAACGTTTCACTTTTGTAAAACAGCAGATAGTAAATAGTTTAACAGTTGAAAGATATATATATTTCATTCGACTTGGATAACATTAATAGTTCATATTAACTTAAGAAAAGTTTTTGTATTCCATATATGAAGATATAACACTTATCATCTAAGCCAATACATTACCTATCAGTAGAACACAACCACAGATATAACTAAAGAGATATATTTTAACACGTATCAATCATCACACACAACCACCAATACTATTCTATAGTACACTTAGAAAATATTTATTTTAGTACTAATAGAAATAATTGCCAGCCTCAAAATAATAATTTATTTCCAATCAAAGGAACAATTCCATGGACGTATTCTTTTTATGTTTCTCTTTTTAGATTTTTTTTTTTTCAACTTACGTTTTAAAAACTATTACTAATCATGTGTTTATTGTTTTGTTTGACTAATTATCAACATTTAATATACGCTTGTTTTCATTTTTGTCAACATCTAAATATTAGATCTGTAAGTAATATCACATACCTTTACTTGCCCATAAATTATAAAAAGAGATGTAATATAAATTAATGCATGATATACAATTCAATATGCATTTAATAAGAAAATTTAGGAAAAAAAATCATACCCAAAGTCTGTAAGTTTAACAACACCGGCTCTTTCGAAGAATACAACATTTTCAGGTTTAAGGTCCCTATGAACAACATGTAGTCGATGGCAATAAGAAATAGCTCGGACAATCTGAGAAAAGTATTCTCTAGCAAGTGGTTCTGATAAGCCAGCTTCATGCCTCATTATGTAATCGTACAGATCTCCCCCATCTCCGAGCTCGAGGACTAAGTACAGCTTCGTCTGGGTATCAATAACTTCATAAAGCCTGACGACATTGGGATGCTGCACTAGCTTCATGCATCTGACCTAAGATAAAAAAAAAAAAATATATATATATGGTTTTCAATTCATTTTATACACCCATCTATCCCAAACATTAAAATTGTCTCAATTTAATTGGGCATTTAATTTGAATAATTGAGTCATTTGAATAAAAAAATAATTGAGTCATTAAGATTGAATTATTTTTTTAAAAAATATTGAAATACCTCTTGAAAAAGATGAGCTTTGGAGACACCATCAAGTTTGGATTTATCAATGACTTTTACTGCTACTTTCTCTCCGGTGAACACATGCCGCGCAAGCTTAACAACAGCAAAGTGGCCCCTTCCAAGAGTGGCTTCCAAATCGTAAAGTCCAGCTATCTTGCCATCATACCCAGCAACTCGCCCACAACTGCTCCGCTCCATCTCCTCCCACAGCTGCAAACATGCATTAGCCACCAATCATACACTATCCCCTTTCAAACTACTTTTTTAAAATTTTTTCCTTCTCAAAATCAAAAGCAACTGTTAAAGCATCAAAGTTTGAATCATGCAAACATTTATTGACTAAAATATATTTAAACAATAAAGCTTAAATCAAAAGCAAAGATTCATAGCAATATCCCAGTATAATGGTCCTTCCAAGCAAGATAATAAAGTTATACTTTTTTTTATTTTATTATTTTAATGGAATTTACAACTGTATTACATAGAGAATACAATAAGTAAATGAGAAATTTGTAACATGGCATGTACAAAATGAAGAGAAACTACCCATTGGTAGAACTCAAATTAAAGTTCTATATTAGAAGATCCCGAGGCCATCTTCTTTTCAGACGCCTCGGAGGGTTATCAGGGATCGAGGAGGAAGCAAGGTTTGAAACGAGAGGATTCGGATGGTTCTGCAGTTTGTTATGGAAGGAAAGGTATCTGGATTGGGCCAGATTGGAAACATATGGAACATCAAGGTCTTTATGGATGATTTTATTTGTGACAAAGTAAGGAGCGTTGAGGATTTTACGAAGGATTTTGGATTGTAAGGATTGGATACGAGAGGAATTCGATGGTTTAGTGGAGCTCCAAAGCTCAATTCCGTAAGTCCAAATAGGTCTCATTATTGTCATATATACGAGTCGTTTATAATTGATTGAAAGCTTAGATCGTTAAAGTTATACTTAATTTATTATTTATAAATAAATAATACATTTTATTAGGCAGTTATCAGACTGTTTAATATTTCTAATTTTTCAGATTATATACTATACAACAGCCCCAGAAAAAAATATTTATTTTACATCTCCTATAATAATTCCTAAGAAAAAAAAAATATATGAAAAGGGAAACTAGATGACAAACACGGTAAGAATAATGGACTTCATAAAATGAGAAAGGATTGAAGATAAAATTGTTATTATTATATTTTAATGTTTAATAGAGATGAATATGGTTCTGGACTCTTTAAGCTCCACACTATTCAAGATAGAAACCTGAATATTTATTAATATATTTTATTAGAACACTTAAAATAATACTTAAGATGTCATCGCTGAGCATAAGCTTTTTTTTAAAATTATAATTATTATTTTCTCTTTAGATAAAAACCAGTACCTTGTACAACCCATGGAGGATCTCATGAAGTGTGTATACAAGAAAGTTTTTGCTTTCACAAAGTTTCTAATGTACAGGTTTCTTTACCTATACAGGCAAAGAGGGGGAAAATTATTTCCATTTGATTTTATTATTTTTCTTTATCTAACCTGAAACTGATTCTTATTCTTTAATATATTATTTTATTCAGCAACAATATTCAATTAGTATTTAATATTCTCACGTTAATTCTAATTTGAACACTGTCAAAATTATTAATTCTAATTTGAATAACGTCTAAAAAACACCAATATTGAGGTAATGTATCACATAGAGCAGGGGTTCATAACCATGGGCCTGAATAAGGTTGAAATAATGAAAAAAAAAATTATTTTTTTTAAATTAGAGAAAACAATAAAAAGTTAGGATATTTTGTAGATTAGCTTTGCCAGTTACTTTTAAATAGGAAAAAGTAACTGTTATAGAAAAGTATCAGTTACATTTAAATCAATGTTGTTATTCTTCTATTATATAAACATCTGTTAACAGATTCATTTAGTTAGCAACATGAACTCAAGTTATACTCCAGTTTGAAGAACAATGAGTAGGAAGGCTTTAAGTTTTATCGGGAAGCTGGAATCACCCATAAGGAGTGCTTTTGTGATAAAGGACACCTAATGAAGCTTCTAGAAATAAATGGTGCTTATGATAGGTGGAGGTGTTATGCACGTTCGTGTAGAAATGAGAAGGAAATACTCTCCAATACATGGTTAGAGCATACACGATTACTATTAACCACTTCCATGAAGTACTGTACAAAAGAATTGGGTATGACAAAATATACTATAACGAAGTGGACAACGTATTGAACAATCCAATCAAACTTGGATGACCTGGAACAACTGTCGAGATTGATGAGTCGTGCTTTTCCAAGCGAAAGTACAGTGTTGGGAGGATATTTCACCCAACAATGGGTGGCATATGTCACGAGATGAAGGAGTACTTTCTGTACGCTGTTACAGACAGGACTTAAGAAACTCTCTTGGAATGCATTAAAGAAACAATTCTATTTTACCGCTAATGACCCGCTCGGGTAGATGCAGAATGTAACAATAAATAAATAAATAAGAAACAATTCTTCCGGATACAACTATTATATCTGATTTGTGGAGATCATATAGGAATGTACAGGAAATTCCAGGAATGCACCACAAACACCTAACTGAGAGCTGATGTTTCGGCCTAAATTACAGTCCTTCATCAAGGAGCTGAAAGGAAAAGATAATCACCAAACAAAAATTATAAAACCTATTATAAGATAATAAAACAAAATATTTGTTATCAGTTAATAAACACATTTACGAAGTGAATAAAAATTATGTTCTGTAAGATAAAATTTATATAAAATACTATAATAAGTAGTACATTTTTTAAAATTTTACTATAAGAGGATAATGGACTGAGTGATGCAATATGAAAATAATTCAATAAATTAGACTAGTGCATGTAAGTAATAAAAAAATAAAAAAATTAATAATTGGAAAATACATCATATATATATATATATATATATATATATATATACATATATATATATATAAGATATATAAAAATTTTGTTTAGGAATTTATAAAGTAATGGTAACAAAGTAATCTACTCCTAATTAGAAACCCGGTGCCTAAACAATGATTCCCGGTTCCTCCGTACCAAATAGTGTACTTTCCTTCCCTCATCGAGCCCTCCCCTGGCCAGCGAACCTCTTGCAGAGCCACGACATCCAAATTGTACCCATTTACCTCATTCGCGACCGATTTTAGCCCCCCTGCTGTGTTTAAACTCCTTACGTTCCACGTACCAATATTTAAATCCCTATATTTATAAAGTACTGAAGAAGGGAAATGCTTGTTATTTTTCTGTGACAAAACTACTCAGTTCGCGCCTCTTGTTCCGGAACTTAAAAATTAGAATCTATAAAACAATTATCTTGCCAACAGTTTTTTATGGATGCGAAACTTGGCCGCTTGCATTAAGGGATGAGCAGCGTCCTTAGGTTTTTGAAAATAAAGTATTGCATAGAATATTCGGACCGAAGATGGATGAGTTAACCGGAGAGTTCAGACGGTTACACAACGCCGAATTGCGTGAACTGTATCCGGGTAATATAATTGAGGTAATTTCATCGCGGCAAATCAAATGGGCTTGTAAAGTTATTGGGCTTAGTAACGAGAAATTCCTAAAAGGTTAATATTTTCTGTGCCGAATGGTAGGCGTCCGAGGGGTAGACCGAAGCGAAGGTGGGAAGATTGCATTAAAGCCGATCTGAAGGGCTTGGTTTTGGACGCCTTACGGTGGAGGGAGGTGTGTTGTAAGCGATTGGTGGTGTCGGCATCGAACCTTCGGGTTCGCTAAGCCTTTTATTATTATTATAATGGTAACAAAGTAATGAAATGAACAATAAAATGACAAAAGTTAAATAGAAAAGTAGAAATAGGTAGTAAATAAAATAAATTTACTAATGTTTTTATTTGTTATTCATTTCACTTAAATATTTCTGTTACTTAATATTCAATTTCTCTTCTCTGTTATTTCATTACTTTGTTATAATTCCTATTCAAATTTTTAAATAAATTACATATAACATTTTTTCCATCCATTAATTATTGATTTATTTATTTTTTTAATACCTACATGTAGTAGTCTAATTTAATGATTTTTTTTTTTTTTCACATACATCAAAAAGTCTATTATCCCCTTATACTGGAATTTTAAACAATGTACTACTTATCATAGTATTTTCATGCTTTACTGTAACAGATAGTACTTATTCAGTGGATTAAAGTATTGGCACGCTTTAAGTTGAGTTATTTCACGAACTGAATATGTATTAGTATTTTGTCATCATACCGTCTTCTTAGCATCGTCAAAACAAGATTTTGAGTTAGGTCTAGTCCATTTTACGTTATTTCTTTGAGAAAGTTTCTTTTAAATAATTGCTTGATCAAATTTTATTTTTTCTTACTTTAAAATCCAACAGATGCGTACATCCTCTATGGCATTTATGTTCGGAGACTGTGGTAGCGTTTTCCATTGGCTGGGACCAATGTACAGCATCCATTCTTTTGTTTTATTTGCTGTGTGCCTGGTGTTATTGTCCTCTCAGAAGATAAATCCATCTTTGATCCTCATATTTTCAGCTCTACATCTTAAATTATGTCGCAAAATGACGACATATTGGTTGGCATTCATAATATTGTCAATAAAGGTTAAGTTTCCAACACCATTCCATGACATGCCCCCTCAAAATTGAACAGTTTTACATCAATGTCCTACAGTGGGCCTCAAATGTCGAGCTTAAAACTCAGGATCAAGTTTCTGCCAAATGTATTAGTCATCATCATAATGAAATATGTTAAACTTACTTTCATCTAAAGAAATACAATTTTTCCACAATTCGAAGTCGTTATTAACTTAAGTTTTGGCCAACTCAAGTATTTTTTTGCGGTTCAAATCCATAATAAAAGTTTTTTTCCTTTGGAAACTGTCATAATAATTTTATGTATGAAATATACTTCTAACAGAAGGTGGTATTTGAAGTAGTTGTGACCTTTTCTGCTATTTTAGCGGCTGATATAGAGAAATTTTGCTAAAACATTTCATGGATATATTTTTGTACTCTCCAATTTAAAACTTTCTAAGCTGTTTTGCAATATTCTGAACACTCCTAAAACCAATTTCTAATTTATTCGGCATTTGTTGGTAGCTAAGCCCATTAGAATGTAATTTAATAATGTTTTTTTTTTTTAAACTGACGCAATATTGACTGGTTTACCCATGCTGTTATGGCAAACATA